AGATTATTTTGAAATATTACAACACAAACAAGTAATTGGCTTATATACTCTCTAAGGCATTATCTAAAGAGAAGTTAATCTATTTTAGAAATATTCTTAGTGTGTGCAACTTTAAATTAAAGGTGTGACATTCTAAATGCTAATTAAGGTATAAGGGTGTAAGATACAGAAATAGATTACGAGTACATAATAATTTTAATGTATCCAGCAGAGTAATTTATTACAAATCTCTTACAAAATATATGAGTTCCCAATTACATATATAACTGAGACCAGAAGTGGTAACAAAATACAAAATATCAAAATACAAAAATGTTCATTTCTATCATTATGCAAAAGAACTCATTAGAGTGCGAGACAAGTCATGCACTCAAAAAAGTTTATGAATTCACGGGATCCTCAAATACTTCAGGGGTAGGTTAACGATCGATTCCTCACTATCTTCCTCATCTGGAGGGGGGACATGGAAATGGGTGAGTTCCATATACTCATTAAGAAAAATAGTATTTAAATAAAATTATAAGATTTTAAAGGTAATTTAAAGTATTATCATTGCTTACCATCAAGAATCATATCAAGGTCCTTCATTAAATTATGAAAATATTTATTTATTAAAGAAAACATCGAATCAATTATGTCATACTTATGTCAGTTAAATCAATAAAGTTGATAATAGAGAAATCAAACAAATCATGAATATTTACTTTCTTTCGTGTAATGTTTGTGAAGTCGTTCCAATTTTCATCTACTGAGGGTAATATGAATTCCCGGCTACCCATATGAAATGACCAATTCATTTTCTTTATAACAAAAATTTGCAGCTTGCCAAACTAACAATACATTTACGGCTTATTAAACCAAAAATACATTTACAGCTTGCTAAACTAACAATATATTTATGGCTTACTAAACCAACAACACATTTACAGCTTGCTAGATCAAGACACGATTCATGATCACGGTCGTGCCAACCACAATGGTCCTACATGTTAACTATGATCACGACCATATTTCGTCAAAGGTGACCCCTACAATCATATCACGTTATTACTCTCGTTAGAGGGTACGCCGTCATCCACAGGAAGTGCTCATCTCACATCTTTTCAAACTAGATGGAGGGAGAAATAGAAACTCCTCGTAGATAAAAAGTTTAATGAAACACTTATGAATTATGCATGCCAATACCAATATATATTTCTCATGTTTATACATCATTTCTTGCTTAATCATTTTTTATTGTCAATATCATCACTTATCAACATTTATTTCGACCATCGGATCATATAAATTACACGGGCAAATTAACAAGTTCATATATGATTATAAAACATGCATTATCATATAAAATTACTTCTTTTTAGGCATAAAATTCAACCATGCACATCATAAGTTTAAACATCGTTAATTTTCATTATAGAAATGCTCCTTAATACATTTAAAAGTAAATATTAAATTTCTTACTGAAAATTTGATGTTTCTTACAGCTTTTCTTCTTCTTCTCCTCTCCCTCTAGCTCTAGATCACTCCCTCCCTTTCTAAGTTTTTGGAGGATGGAAGAATGGAATGGAAGTGATGAGAAAATAGTGAAGGAAGGGTTCTTATTTATAGAAAATGAGGACTGTTGGATTTGCGTAAAGTGGTAAAATTTGGTAAAGAGAGAAAAAGTCAATCGAAAAAGAAGTGATTTGACGACTGACGGATATGACTGACAAATGGATGGTGCGATGTGACGATGGTGTAAAAATGGAGGAACACCACCCAAATGACAGCGGCACATCATCCAAGCGTCGGCGACATGCCGCCCAAGTTAGCAGCCGGTCGTCGCCCCTCTAGTGGCCTGCGGCGCCTAAGGGGGTGACGTGCACTGTCCAAGGCAGTTGCACGCTGCCCAAGCTAGAAGTGCACTGCAGGCCTAGCCTGTCGTACGCAGGCCCTACAACGTGCAGGGCATTGCGCGCAGGTCTACTGCGTGTAGGTCCATGGGTGTAGGCCTACCGCGCAAGTCTACTGCGTAGACAGCGGGCGCACAGAGTCGTGCCCATCTGTGCTCAATGGGATGCGTGCGCAAACTGCCCATGTCTACGCGCAGACCGCGCCTCACGCCCCACGCGGACGGGATGTGTGCACAATGCGCACGTCCTACGCTAGCAAGATCCTTCCCGTGGGATTTTTTGCTTTTTTTCCGTTTTTCCTGAAATTCGTTTTAATTAATAAATACAATAAATTATGAAAAAAGAAAATAATAAATTTTGAGAATCATTTAGTTAAATAAAAATATGAAATTTAAAACACGAAATACAATATTCGTCCGAAAAATTAAAATTACGAAATATTAAAAAGTTTAAGCGGTTTTAAAGTCTGATAATAAAAGTTTACATTACAAATTTAGCGCAAAGATTTCAAGGTGTACAGAGGGGAGTGTTGAAGATTGATTCAAGAATTAGTCAAAATATATTGCAGGTTTTATGCTAAATAATTTTTGCTGATATTTTGCTAATCTTATGCAGATTAGTTTTCGTTATTTTCTGATTATGTTAATTTATTGTTAGTGGCAGAATTTTAGAAATTATGGTGATGATTTTTTGCATTTTCAATTTGGTTGTAAGCTTATATAAATGCATGTTTAGTTCTGAAATAAGTGAGTAGATGGCAGCAAGTTTTTCTGCAATTTTTCTGTCCTTTATCTGTTTCTTCCTTCAAACTCTGTTTCTCAAAATTGTTCCAGCATTTATCTCCAATGTTATTCGCCTAGTTAGAACCATACATTTCCAAGAGTGTCTTTTCTTTGACTCCAAGCTCACCTTGTTGCAATATATTATTTTTTCAATCCCAATACAAGAGCTCAACTGACTTTTCCCAAATGGTATCCACAGTAAACATAGATTTGGAGGAATTAGAATACCTGGGAGGGTTGGTAAGATTTCAATCATTCTTTTCATTTACACTTGTAAGTAAAATTTTTTCTCTAAAAAAATGTCTCCCTCAAACTCAATACGGAGGCTATTTTTTTTTTTTAAATTAATAGTAATTAGGGCTTTCAAAAAACGAATAAAGATATCATTAAATGTTGAATGTTTATCATAGAAAAAGAAAGAAATAAGATATTTATAAATATCTACGGTATTAAACTCACAGGTCCACCACTATTAAAAAATTCGTAACTTCATCAATTCTCATCTAAATTATATAATCTTAATATTAATGTTATGATATATAGATTATAACTACATAATATGATGATTGGAGTTTGACCAAAAAATTTGAAATAGGGCTAGAAGCCTATTCACATTTTTTAACAATCTTAGATTTCTTAATTTTTATCCACATTATACAATATTTGTATTTATGAAAAACTTATGAAATTTAAATTATGCTATATATGCTCACTAGTTATAAATTGCTGAAAGATAAAAAATAGAGCTAGAAGTCTACTGTCTCATGGTTCGCATTTTACTGTTTTCAAAAAATTTGTTTGCTCCCTCAATCTCTATCCAAATCATATAATATATAATATTGGTATATATAACAAATTTATGAAATGTATGTAGCTATATATAGTTGGTGACAGAAAATTGGCGGACAGACTTTTTTTTCTTTTATATACATATATTTCCTTTAAATTCTACATCTAAATGCCGTGCACATTAGTTCTAATTTAATTTTGGAGACTTAATTTTGTTGTTGGAGGCCTCTCCTTCTTCATCTCTTTTTTTCTTCTTTCTCTTCTCTTCTATTATATTCCTTAGGGTATTCTAATGTTACGCAGAAGAAGAAAAAAAAAAAAAAACTGTCGGAAAAGAAAAAAACTGTTAATAACTATATATAATTTATTATAAAATAACTCTATTTTTATTTAAAATAATAAATAATTTTTTTTTTTTTTTTGTGTATGTGGGTGGAGAGACAGGGTGTTACATATTCCCACCACCTTCATACTTTTATATTGTTGGGCTGCAGGCCGTTTGCGTTTTCTTAAAGAGTTTGTTTACCACAAGATAGTATCTTCTTGTTATCATTAGCTCAAGTAGCTTAGAGCTTTGCTTTTTTTCTTTACTCCCTTCTTAAGCATCATCTTACCTCCTACGTTTTGAGAGTTTCTTTATGGTTTCTTCATGGGTCGGGGGTGTGTTTGCATAGTATCTTGTTCATACTTAGATGGTGTTTGTCTTTGTACTTTTGGCTTTAGGATGTCTTTGAAAGTAGAAGTTTCTTCGATTTGCTGCTTGTTGTTTGACCACGTACATACATTAATTTCTCTTTTAATTCAAAAAGAAAAAAGAACTCTCTCTTTTGTTTTCTATTTCTTTTATTTTTTCCGGTAAAATGTGGGTTGAAAGTAGTTAACATACACCTTTGCCATTTGAATATGGTAAGAGATAAATCCCTAATTCTAACTCTTTTTACTTTATTTTTTGCTCTTATTATAAAATAAAATGTACAAAAGAAGTTAATTTAATTATGTGTCAAATATATAAGATTACTACTAACATCTATATATCATATAACGTAATTGAGATGTAGAAATTAATGGAAATAGAATAAGTTAGAATGGAATGCAAGGTTATTTTTAAATGCCTATGCTTATCCAGTTCTCTTTATACATATGCTCTTTGCTTTAATTTTTTCTTTACCTTTTTTAGTCAATCGAGATTCTTCTCGTTATTATGTTTGCAATTGGTTATTTTTAAATCTACTTTATTTAGGAATTCCTACTAATGGATCTATTATGGCTAGCTTGTAGAGTTAAATGTATATAATGGGTTTTGATTATCTACTTTTTTTTTTTTATTCTATATACACATGCATATATATAAAACGTATTTACAATAATCTATATTATATATGTCTATCAAATGTATATTTAGTAAAACTAAGAAAACAAATTAAACTTGGTCAAAATACATATATCATACTCATGTTGACTTCTGATGAGTAATTTGCAAAATTATTTAATTATTTATCATATGATGAGTAGTATAAATTATATTATATAAGTGTAATTAGGGTTTGAAATTGACAAGTGATCTATATGATTGACCCGGTTGCCAACCAGCAGGAATTACAGCAGTAACAATCAAAGTGTCATTGGTCCCCATTGCAGTTAACCGGAGTGAAAAAGGAGCACGTAGAGTAGAGCCAGAGTCAAGTTTCCAAACAGCACCCCATGACTGTTGCATGGGTAGCCAAGTGTCTGAGTCTAGAGCTTGTTTCAATTCAACTCCAGCAAGCTCTCCATCTCCATCTTCGTATTCAATTAGCGTTGCAAAATAGTTGGAGTTGGAGCCCGAATCAATATGAAAAGTCACCGTTTTTTGAGGATAGTTGCACTCAACTCTATCAAATTTTTAAAGAAAAAATTATGTATTATTTAAAGAAAAAAATTAAATATCAATAATAAATTAATATTAAATTACTTTCTATACTGAATTTTCAATACTCCAGCGTTGCGAAGTTGATCTGCGTCATCAGAATTAGCCATGGCTCCAAAAGCAGTACCACTTAAATCAAAATGAATCGAATCTGATGCGCATGGACCACCTGGGCAGTTGTCTGTAATTACTACGCTCACTGGATTTCCTGAGCATACTTTATTATCATCAGATGTACACTTTACCTGAATCAATAATATCCATAATCCAAAAATTAGCAGTAGGTAGTGAAAGAAAGGAAACTTTGAATATACATACATATATATGCATATGTCAAATTCGAAGGGGGTGATACTGTCACCAACATTTTCAAAATAAGTCCACCAACATTAATGGTTAAGGAATTAATATATTATAGATACACACACACCACACACATATTGATAATAGGTTGGCATATGGTACCTGATAACAGGCTCCACATCCTTTGCCTTCCTTAAAGAGGGAAGCACCTCCTGCCGATACCATTGCAGAGAATGGAGGTTGGTCGACAGTAGGCCCGTATCCACAAGCTCCACCTATATGATACACATACATACATGTGTATATAATTAATGTTAAATGAATGGAGTATATATATGTATATATAATGTGTTATATACGTGTAAATAGGAGATTACCATCAGTACCGGCACCAGTGGGGCTACCATACCATGTAGCAGCAGCAGGTGACCAATCGGAATCAGTTTGTGAGTCGGAAAAATTAAGCAACTTAGGGTAGAAACAGTGACAAGATTCTAATAACAGACACAAATATACGAGTAAAAGGTATAACGAACATCTAAATGAAAACTCCATAATCTTAAAATTATTATCGCTACGATTTTTTCTGTTTCCTTCTTGATTTAGTTGAGAGCAAAAGAAAACTCCATATTTATAGACAAGATAGACCAGAGCTTCAGGTATTTCTAATTACGCTTACATGTAAGCCCATGGCACAAGGCGGGACCCGAACGGTGTTGTTTTCTGGAGGATTTTATGGGTTGAATAATTTTAGTTTTGTTCGTTAATATTGGCGTTAATGGCGGTTAGTAGCCGTTGAAAAAGTGGATTAACTGTCGAGGATAAAACCCATGTGACGGATTCCTCTTTACTTGGCGGGGATTGGGGTTTTATTTTATGGGTTCAAATTTCAATATGTTGTGACATCATTATTCTTATTTTTACATAATATTTTTTATATAATATTTGTGACATCATTTGATAAGTTTATTTAAAGAGCCAAATAAAATAGTTATATTCTGAAATAATTCATCAAGAAACGAGGAATTGGTGTGAGTAGGAAATTGTGGGTTTTCGCAAGCAAACGGACTCCACATGCTCTTAGTATATCAGAGATAACAATATTTTAACATATTAAAATTTAATTATTTAATGTGATTTAAGATAATTTAATAAATATATATTATTTGAGAAGATAGAATTATAAAATTTACTGAAAAAATTAAACAAGTCTCTTCATTTTGTCTTATCATACTCCCCGTTAGTCAAGCGAGATTGCTCCATTTCATCAACCTCCAGAAAATTTATAATAAGGGCAAAACTTTTCCGCATACTATATCATCTACGTTCGTGTGTGTGTGTATATATATATATACACACACACACACACGCTGGGTCTTACTATATTCATATATAG